TGTGAATAACTGGCAAAATCACAATCCTAAATAGAAAGACTAGCTTACTTGTTTTCTGCAGGATAGTAATTGAACCCCTTGTTTATTGACAGTGAAATTTTTTATCAGTTCAGAGATAGACAGGGCTGCCCTGTTCTGTTCTGTTCTGTTCTGTTCTGTTCTGTTCTGTTCTGTTCTGTTCTGTTCTGTTCTGTTCTGTTCTGTTGTAAGCTGTTTTGGTGTTTTCCTTGTATTATTGTGCATCAACCTTAAGCCTGGGTTGTTTCTTGTTTTTTATTTTGTTTCTTTTAAAAAAATCATTCTTTGGCGGTTTTTGCATGCATACAATATCTCTTGGTCATAGTTCTCTCCCCTCCCCAAATTGGGCTTCTGATGAGTGTTTTTAAAATCTTTTATGTTTTTCCTTTTTGGTAGGATATCATACTGAATACTTGCCCTTTCTGGAGAGCTGCACAGCAGCTCTGATGCCCTCTTCTGACCTCCACGACATTACATGATATGGGTATACTACATGCATGCAGGCAATACACATACACGTAAAAATAAATAAATAAAAATACTCTTAAAAAATAAAATAAAATGATAGGAAAGGTCCAGGTTTGTTAGTTAATTCATTTGCTCTAAGAGTTGGGTGAGGAGAATAGGTTCTGGGAGATGTCTGTTGTCTGATAGTCAGGACACAGAGTGGGTACTGAATGGTTTAATAATAGCCTCTAACCTTTCATTTCCTGTTCTGTTCATACTTGAGAAAAGTATAGTTAAAGAGCAGCTCTAACATGAAGTTTCAGAGGTGAAACGCCACTGCGTTGTGGATCAGTAGCTTTTTTTCTGAGAAGGTGACAGCCATCCTCTTGAGTGGTTGTAAAAGTGGTGCTAATGTGTATGACCCTAACTTTTCTTTTTTCTCCTTCTCCCTTTAACATTTGCTTTTCCTTTCACTGTTGTCAGTCACAACACACTGCTCTTGAATCTCAGCTGGTCTTGACTTGACTCGTGATTTTACTTATGCTTTCACTCTTCTTTAATAAATACATTACTTGCAAGCAGTGAATTGAAAACAAGACAAAAAAAAAAGAAAAAGAAAAAGAAACCAAAAAACAAAAAAATAAAACGACCATTAGTGATCGGACAGTTTCTTACTTTGTGTTACATTTAACTGTTCTTTTGACAGCCCAGTTTTTAAAGCCAGGTTCGTATGGAAATGCTTTCACTCCACTTGCACTGCTTTTGGAAATAGCATACTGCTTCATCTGTCTGTTTATTTTAGTGCGTTCATAATATAACACTGTCAGCATAATGTCTCATCTCATTTAGCCAAAGATTGAATTAAAAAAAATAAAAACAGAACAAACCACAACAAATTGGGGGAGGGGCAACAATTTTTGTCAGCATTATTTAATACCTAAATTTCTGTGCCAGATATAGTTACAGCATTGGTGTAGAAGAAAGCACACAATAACAAACTACATTTAGTTTTAGCGACAGGGTCTCATTCTGTTGTTCTGACTTTCCTTGAACTCAAAGCAATCCTCCTGCCTCAGCCTCCGAAGTGCTGAGATTACAGGAGTGTGCCATCACATCAGCTTAATACATACTCTGAAGAGTCATTGCTGTCCTTGTGCTTCCCAGAGGTGCTGTTGTAGAAATTATAATATGAAATAAGGACTTTATATATAGGTAAGTTTGTTTTGATAGTAGAAAAAAAGAACTTCTTTGCTATGCTCAGCTTTCACAGTTTTCATTTTTCTGAAGTTTTATACTGGTGTGGCTCTAGGACCTCATACATGCTAGGCAAGTGCTGTATCACTGAGCTAAATCCCTAGCCCTTTTTGTTGTTTTGTCTTATGTAGTCCAGGTTGACCTCAAACTTGATATGTAGCTAAAGCTGAGAATGACCTTGAACTCCTCACCTTCCTGCCTTAGAACCAGGTGTGCATTACCATGACTGGTCTAATTTTTCTTTTTAATAATGAAGTCATTTATAAATAGATCTACTCAGCACTGGATGAGAGAATGCTTTTCTTGACTATAGGAGAGAAGAAAAACCGCAAGTGTTCAGTTAAGTTACTGTGATATTTAATAATGTGAAAACCATCACTTGGGATTGCATATAGCTTCATGTTTCCCAGTTCTTTCAGTTCTTAGCAAAAATAATTTCAAGGGACCTTTGATGCATTATTATTTTATGTGAGTATAATTACATA